TCTTTATTCATGTTAAGCACAAGAGAGTAGGTAGAAAGAACACCTGGGTCTCCTTGAAGTATAAGACTACTAGGACAGTAGAACCCAAAATGCCCAGCTCCTAAGAGATGGCATAGATGTTCAGTTACAGCTGTAATTCTCTGTGCTCATCTATCCTCTTGTTTTTTTCTTTTTTAATTAAAAGGGAATTACACAAATGAATTTGTAGGTGTGATCCAATTAAACAGATCAGCAACATAAACACAATGAAATAAAACAAGTGGCACTTCTGTTTCTGGCAGCATAATAGTGCACAACCCTAAAAGATACTTTCAAATGAAAAAGACCCAAATATTAGATAACATATATATCTTTTAAGTGTGTTGCTGGTCCAAAAGTAAGAAATTCATAAAGCCCCAAACACAAAGGAAACATGAGACCCTGTAAGGTAAGCAAGAAAGGCAAATTTCATCCTAAGGCTTGTTATTGAATCGAAGATCCCATTTTCACTTTTATGGATTCATCATGCACAGAAGGAAAATGTCTAAGTCCTGCTTTGAAGAATCTTTTACAAGTCCTACACTAGAAGCAGTGACAATAAAGACTGCTAGCCCTCAGTCTTTAGGGATGAGCTAAACAGAAATAAACTTACCAAGAAAAGGTGTCAACAAGGTCACTTACAATGCCAAAACACAGCACTGCATGGCAAGAGGAGAGAAAATCCCATGAGAATTTATAACCTCAAGCTGACCTTCCCATGACTTTATGATCTGAGTTCATGCTCCTTCTGTAATGCAAACAGTTCTCAAAGACAAAATTAAACTTAAAGTTTTTCCAGATTGATAGAGTCTCCATGGGAATGGATGAAACAAAAATAGACAAGCCCTTTCTAGCCAAGCCACAAATAATTCCCATGGATACTCCTTGCAAACATAGAAGAACCTCACAGTCAACAAATGAAGCCAGGAGTAGTGGTACATGCCTGTAGTCCCAGCTACTCAGGAGGCTGAGGCAGGAGGATGGCTTGAAGCCAGGAGTGTGAGATCAGGAGTAGTGTACTACAATCACCTATGAATAGTTGCTGGACTCCAGCTTAGGCAACACAGTGAGATCCTATAAGTAATAATAACACGGTAATAGTAACATTATTATTATTCTTTCCTAGGGCTGTCATAACAAACTATCACACGTTGGTGGCTGAAAACAATAGACATATATTCTAGCACAGTTTAGAGACCAAAAGTCTGAAATCAAGACGTCATCAGGGTCACGCTTCCTCCAAAAGCTATGGGAGACTCTTTCCTTGCAATATCCAGCTCTAGCTGCATCATTCCAATGTTCTCTTCTTCTTTGTCTTATCAGGACACATGTCATTGGATTTAGGGTCCACTGGGATAATCTAGCATTGTCTTCCATCAAGATTTTTCAATTAATTACATCTAGAAAGATCCTTTTTTCCAAATAAAGTCACATGCACAGGTAATGGGAATTAGAATGCGGACACATATTTTTGGAATCCACAATGGAATCTACAAACATGCATGAAGAAACATGACTCTACCTGTGAAAACTAGCAAGAAATGCAGACAGCAGAAACCTCTGCACCCACTTATAAAACAGATGAGTCCTCTTTCCTTCTTCCTCCCTTCCTAGTCTAACTTTCAATTCTGGACATAGTTTTTTCAGCTCTTCGCAATGCATACACTTACATAATCACATAGAACACTGAATAAAGAACTTTAAAAAACACATTTTTACCAAAGCATTACATATGCATGGCATTAAAATTTACATAATAAGCAAACAAATAACTACTCATCCCCCAATTTGAGTTAATTATTTCTGACTCTTTTTCAGTTTCTTCTGATGTGTACTTCATATTTCTAAAAAATATGCATATTGTTCCATCAACCAATTCCTTAATGCTAGGCATTTTCAACCGAAACTCTCTGAAAAACAGCACCTCCCAGCCACCTCCACCAAACTCACTACTATTGAATCACAAGGTTTTTTAAAATCCATAATTTAGCATTTTTGCTTTATGACAACATAGTCTTTAAGAGTGAGCTGAAGAAGTATACTCTGACCATACCTCCCATCTACAACTTTTTGTATTTCCTGGAATTCCTTCACTTTTATTTGAAAAGCCTTCTTTGAATTTGGGTAAGTGTTTCTACACCTGTGAAATGCTTCTCAGTTTAATGTTCCAAATCAAACCTGACAAATCCTCTATTCTTTCCATTGTTTGTGTTAAGACTCCTCTATTGACACTTTATAGGTCTTCTGCTCCCAAACACATGAGTTGCTCCGTAGGCCTGTGAACAGAATGTTAATGTCCTCTCTTCAGGTAAGCTACCCAATTTTCCTGATTTAGTCATCTTTGGTGAAGTGCATCCCCCATTTGCTTCTGGACTCAGGATACTTTGAGGATAAACTTTTGAATATTTGCTTTCTGCGAACATTTCATCTTTCCCTAATACTTGAATAATAATTATATATGGGCTTCTAGGTTGAAAATCACTCTCCTGCAACATTTGGAAGGCATAACTCTATTTTCTTCTACTTTCCAAGGGTAAGTTGCTTCATCAAGTATTTAATTAGTACCTAAAGAGTACAATGCATACTGTTGGGTTTAATCTTGACACAGCCTCATTCCTTAGGTAATACTGAAGAGTCTATAGTCTTATTCAAATATTCTGGGTGGGGGATAACAGTGTTTATTTATGATAGAAGGTTTTAGAGTCATGACTTTATCCTATGTGTTCTGAAATCTCACAATGAGCCCTGATATGGATCTTATTCAGTCATTTTCACCCCTTTCAACTTTGAGACTTACAATCTTCCATAATTGGAATTTTTCTAAATGTTGATACTTTTCTTCTCTTTATATTGTATTTTCCCTTTCTTCAACTCTTAACAGTCTGGTGTTCAAAGGAACTGAGGGACTTGTAAATTCTTATTCAGACCTTGCACTGATCCTCCTGATCTCAGTCTAGACCCTCATCTCCACCCTCATCGCTATTGTCCAAAATCCACAATCTCTCTGGTTTTGTATCTCCAGAGACTAAACCTCCAGGCTCCTACATGAACAGGAAGTGATAGGAACTTAACTGTGTGGGGTGAACAATGAGGAACTCGAGAGGAGGAGAGGAAGCTAACTGTTCTTTATTCATCCATTAAAAGCCCGTTATTATCCCCCACCCCCCACAACACACACACACACACACACACACACACACACACAACCTTGCACATCTCCTTCTGCAGAATGTGTTTCTTTTTTGGAATTGCCCAGGTCAAATCATTGTGTTTCTCTCTAGCTCCTATATCTTTACCCCTGCCAACACTTAGCCACAATCTTGTTCTGTAAAGTGCTTTATCATATCTCCATTTACTTTCCAAATTCATATTTATGATTGAGGTTACAGATTACTCCTAATATACTTGAAGGTAGGCTTACTATACCCCTTGTTCTTTGGGATGGTTTTATAAAGGAGATGGATCACATTGGAGATTCATTTAGTGTTACTGTTTCTTATTTTCCTTGATGGTTTTTAAGTAATTTCAGAGAAAAAAAGGGTATAAAAGTCTTTCTTCCATTGTCTTAAAGTTGGAGACCCATCCTAGTACTTTAAAAGTACAAACTGCCCACTAACTGAACACCAGGAATTTTCCAATGCTGGTGTCTGGGAAAACTCAAATAGGTCACTTGATCTGAAGAACTATCTGGCATCCAGCTAGAAAGTCACTTAAATTGAAATTCAAAGAAGAATCCTTTTAGGAGACATGAAATATCTTGTCTTTTATGTGAAAATTCTATATCAGCAGTGTCTCTGCAGAATTTGCTTAATGCCTTTGCAATGAAAACCAACTATTATGCTACTCTAGTATCATAGTAGCAAAATCCAGTTCCCATTTAGAGTTAAATTGTTTGCTGCACAAAGGCGCTATTTTTAAAGAGCTTGATTCAGGTTAGATATTGCTGATCTAGATATTTTATAACAATTTCGCAGCACAAAGCAGACAAAAGTCTTGTAATAACAATATTAAATTATTATAATAATTTTGTCATTTATTGAAGTAAAACATTTTAAGGAAGTAGTTCCTTCTTGTAAATTACACAAAGTCGCTGTAGATTCTCATAGCATCCTGAATGAAACTATATGACCAGACAAATTCATCTATATATGTTCCGACAGTGTCAACATTTCTAGAGTATAAACCATACAAACAGGAAGAGAAATTTAACTCTAAATATTCCTTCCAAAAGAACATTAGTTATGAAACCAGCATAATACAATTGGTCCCACAAGATCTAATTCTGCCACATATACTCCTTTAGTGATAAAGTGGTTCAATTTTGAGAATAATGCACTTCTTATAAAGCTTTTCCTTTCACTAACACCTGGATTATGAATGAAATAAAAAAGCGAACAATTTAATGATTCTCTGAGTGCTTTTCAGAGATTTGCCACACCTTCTAGACACTGATGACAAAAAGCACTACCACTCCTTTCAATAAGCTTATTCATGTCTTCCAGAAATTTTAGTAGTTCCACTCTATGAATTTTATATATAGAATATATGGTAAGTATGCATACAACAATTACATTAAGCCACGATTCCATGATCATTAAGATTAGTCAAGTCAGTTGTTGCTTCATCAAGTATTTAATTAGCACCTAAAGAGTACAATGCATACTGTTGGGTTTAATCTTGACACAGTCCCATTCCTTAGTTAATATCTGACATGCATCTGTAACTTCAGGATTGGGGTATGCGATGACTAAGAACAGATATTTGCTTATGTTGCTTTAGTCCTTAGATGCACTAATTTGGTGATTGTTAAAAGATGGTCTAATATCATTGTTAACTAATGCCAAACTTAAACCCAAACACTAATTATGAATAATCCAATCCAACAATATCATCACTTATTCAAATATAAAAAAACCAACACATAAGAGTAACATGATTGAAAATAGTATATTAATAGAAAAACTATCTTAAAATTCCCTTACCTCTTGTTTGCAATCCCTTTCCGCAGGCTTCACTTGTGCCCATTATTCCCTGCCTGACAGAGTCTGGCACTAAGATACAAGGGCTCCATTTCTGAGGCTTCCACCTGCGATTACAAAGAACAAGGGACTAGAAACTTCATCATGATAAACAAACAAAAGAACCAAAAGAGTTAAATTTGAAATAAAAAAATAATGAAGACAGTAATTCAGTTAAACATATATTGTACTCCATATCCTGCCAATAAAGTAAAGGAAAAAAAAACATGGATGTGAACCAATGTCATAAGATCAAGACCTGGCAATCACTAGGGATGACAATAGTCTACTACCCCAGATTCATGGTTCATGCAGTATTTCATTTTTCTTAGAATTTTGTTCATAAACCTTAGTTGATACATAAAAGTGGCAACAAAAAGTTTTAGAAGCACAGATAAATCTGGAAGGTATAGCTCTTTATGAACTTAAAGTTGTTAAAAAAAAACAATAAGGAAAAATCGCTATGACTCACTGGAACATTAGAGAATCAAGCTTTGAACATCTGAAAGTTTGGGGTGCAAACCTTTACACTTAATCTTTTGCTTCACCTATTTTATAAGGTGCTTTCTAGGATGTTTGAAATAACTCAAACATCTCAATAGGTTATAGAATAAAAGGTGAATGGTTACCATAGACCTATCTTCTCTGATAGTTCATCTTAGGGAAGAGGAATGGATCCGCTGCTTATAAAAATACCATGATTTCTATTCCTTAGAGGAAACAGTATCTAAGGAATTTCCTGGTTTTCCATGTCTTTTCTTTCCCAGACCAAGAAAACTCTCTATTTTTATGACTTACAGGGCAGACTACAACTTGTGTCCTTAAACCTGTTTTATTCTAGAAGACCCAAGCCCTAAGTGTAACCACAGATTCTGTTCTTTCATTTAGTATATTTTTGTACCTCTTCATATGAGCCAATATTTCTGATGAAAGAACTACTTCAAAAAATGAAATAGGAACATAAAGTAAAAACATCATTGACCTTATTCAAGTAGCCTTCATAATGGAAATAACTGAAGAGCTGGAGGAAAACCAGGAAACTGATAAACAGAAAACTTGTCACATTGAAAGAAATCACCTATTAATTTTAAATAGTTGTAAATTTACTTTGTACATGCAGACTCATTTCACATAATTTCAAAACAGAGAAGCTAAAAATGATAAGAGATTTTAGTCCAACTTTTCAAAACAGAGAAGCTAAAATGGTAAGAGGTTTTAGTCCAACTTTTCAACTAAAACATTATCATTCATTCAGATTCCTTGAATTGAGTTTGCATAGGTTTTCTTGGCCAAAAATGAGACCGTGGAGATCAGTCTCCTTTAGCTTGTTGCATAGACTGAAAGGGCAGGAAGAAATTTTTAGAACTTCCTTGTTGAACTTTCAATCTCAGGATGATAAACTTGGACTCACAGAGATGTGTTCCAGATTGCATAAGTCAGGGCAGGCCAGTTGTCAGTCCTGAGTCTCTGGATGCTCAGTCATAGCCCCTTGGCCATACCTCATTGCCAATTCTACATAAGGAAAAAAGGCTTTCATGTTGTCTCACTTAATGTGATGGGAGAAGTTCAAATTCACAGGACAAATTAAATAGGCATTTTGGTTCTGTTTTAATTTAGAGAACATGTCACCTTAATGGAGTTAAAAAGAAGAATCAGAAGATAACGATAAAAGCCTATGTTAACTTGCTTCTTATAACTTCCTCTCTAACATACTGATGAAGTGGAAAACAATATCTAAGTTGGAACCATACTGCTCCAAATTCAAGGATTTCTCACTAAGGAGCAGGGAATCACCCTGATAACTTGGATATGTTTTGAATTATGTGTTAGGAGAAATGCTACAATAATCCAATTCGTACATAGTAGAACTGATTTCTAGGGACAGTGCAGGAGGTCAATAATAAAAACTAGTTCAAACATGAGTGACTAAATTGAAGTGCAATACGAGAGAAAAAAGAGTAGATGATAGAATGAAAGATCCCATTAATAGTTTCTAGAATATTATCTGATTATAACAGCCCTGGGTTCATAAAAATGTCTAATAATATTTGATTTGGCTAATTTTTTCACTCGGATGCCTTCCTTGAGAACTCTTTTGCTAGGCTTGGAAGTTTAAATATTTAAACATGGTACAAAAGGATGAATATTGACAGTGTTTCCACAATGGCCCTGTGGTTAATAAGAAAAAAACTGGTAGTCTGGGCATGTCCCCTGTGTTTATCTACATCCTCTTCAAATTGGTCATCGAATAGAAATAATGGGAGTAAAGGATGATAAAATCAATAGTAATTTAGACTTCTTCAATGATACTTTTAAACTTTAAAGGAAGGAATAGTCTTTTAAAAAGGAAAGGACTTGCATTTTCCTGAATAAATTAGCCCTTGATTTTCAGAGTTTTAGGATTCCTTTCTCAAATAATCAGGAGAAACACTAGGTATTATTATTAAAGGCATTTTTAAGGGTACTGATAAAACTATATGATTTTTAAGACATGGGTTATTTTCACAAATGAGTAAAACTCTCTAGTGATTGGATTTAATCCAAGTATACTTTAAAACAGTATTTCAATGAAACTTAGAACTGTCACCTGTCAAAAGAGTAGAAGTTTATGACTAAACACAGAAAATTCAGGTATTCTTTTGATAAATAATAATCACAAATTTGGAAAAAAGGAATATATAGAGAACATTTACAGTTTAAAAGTTATTCAGTCCTTATTTTCCAATTTGGAAATCTTTATTTTTTCTCTTGCCTTTTTGTCCCAGCAAAGACTTCCAGTACTATTATAATTAGCTGGTGATATGATCTCATACCGGGAAAATCCAAAAGACTCCTCAAAAAGACTTTTGGACTAATGATTTAGTGCAGTCCTCGGGTTACAAAATCAGTGCACATAAATCAGCAGCACTGCTATACACTAACAATGACCAAGCTGATAATCAAATCAAGAACTGAAACCTATCTACAATAGCTGCAAAAATAATAATAATAATAATAATAATAATAATATACCTAGGAAGGAATATATTTAACCAAGTAGGTGAAAGAATTCCACAAGGAAAACTATAAAACACTGATGAAAGAAATCATAGAGGATACAAACAAATAGAAAAACATCCCATGCTCATGGGTTGGAAGAATCAACATTGTTAAAATTATCATACTACTCAAATTCAATTACAGATTCAACAAAATTACTATCACACCACCAGCATCATTTTTCATAGAATTAGAAAAAAATTCAAAAATTTATGTAGAGCCAAAAAAGAGCCCAACTAGCCAAGGCAATCCTAAGAACAAAGCTGGAGTCATCACATTACCCAACTTCAAATTATACTACAAGGCTACAATAACCAAAAAGGCATGATACTGATATAAGAACAGACACAGAGACCAATGGAAGAGAATAGAGAATTCATAAATAAACTCAAGTACCTACAACCAAATCATCTAGGACAAAGCAGTCAAAAATACATACTTGGGAAAGGACATCCTATTCAACAAGTGGTGCTGGGAAAACTGGATAGCTACATGCAGGAAAACAAAACTGGATTCCTGTCTTTCACCATATTAAAAAATTAACTCAAGATGGATTAAAGAATTAAATGTTAGATGTGAAATTTTAAAAATCCTAGAAAAAAAAACCTATGAAAAACTCTTCTAGACATTGACCTAAGCAAAGAATTTATGGCTAAGACCTCAAAAGCAAATGCAACAAAGACAAAAATAAGTAAAGAGGGACTTAAATGAAAAAGCTTCTTCACAGCAAAAGAAATAATCAACAGACTAAATAGGCAACTACAAAATGGAAGAAAATATTTGAAAACAATACATCAGCAAAGGCCTAACATCCAGAATCTATAAGGAACTCAAACAAAGAGCAAGGAAAACAAAAACAAACAAACAAAAAACGCATTAAAAAAGCAGGCAAATGACATGAACTGACATCTCTCAAAAGAAGAGATACAAATGGCCAAAAAACATATGAAAAAAATGCTCAACACCACTAATCATGAGGGAAATGCACATTAAAAGCACAGTGAGATACAACTTTACCAGTGAGAATGACCATTTTTTAAAATAAAAAAATAAAAAGATGCTGGCACAGGTGCAGAGAAAAAGGAATGCTAATATACTACTGGCAGGAGTAAAAATTAGTAAAACCTTGCCTTAAAGCAGTATGGAGATTTCTCAAACAACTAACAGTAGATGTATCATTTGATCCAGCAATTCCACTACTTGGTATCTACCCAAAAGAAGAGAGGTCATTATATAAAAAAGACAACTGCACTCATGTGTATAGTAGCACAACTGCAAACCTGTGGAATAAACCTAAATGCCCACATTTTGATCAGTGGATAATGGAAATGTGGAATATGTAAGCCATGGAATTCTATTTAGCCATAAGAAAGAAAAAATAATGTCTTTTGCACAGCTTGGGTGGAATTGGAGACCATTATCCTACGTGAAGTAATGCAGGAATGAAAAAACAAATAACACATGTTCTCACTTATAAGTGGGAGCTAATCTAAGGGTCTGCAAAACCATATAGAATGGCATAAAGGACATTAGAAACTCAGAAGGAAGGCAGAAGGAGGTTAAGGGATGAAATATTACCTATCGGTTACGATGTGCATTCAGGGAGTTGACAGGCATACTTAAAGTTCAGTCTCCTTCACAACTATACAAAGCAGCCACTTAACCAAAAATCATTTTTACCATTAAAGCTATTAAAATGCGGTGGCTCAGCCTGTAATCCCGCACCTTTGGGAGACTGAGGTGAGTGGATTGCCTGACCCCGTGGGTTCGAGACCCGCCTGGGCAGGTGAGACCTCATCTCTACAAAAAATCAAAAATCAGCCGGGCGTGGTAGCGCGCCTGTAACTCCGGCTACTAGGAAGGCTGAGGCGGCAGGATCGCCGGAGCCCAGCAAGTCGAGGCTGCGGTGGCCGGGAGCGGCCACTGCACTCCAGTCTGGGCGACTGAGTGAGACTCCAACTCAAAAATAAAATAAAATAAAAAGCTATTAAAATGAAGAAAGCTGTATTTTATTTTTTTTATTT